CAAGATATTAGCAAATACAATGCAGCACATTATCAAAAAGATCATACATCATGATCAAGTAGGATTCATCCTAGAGATGCAAGGATGGTTCAATGTACATAAGCCAATAATTGTGATAACTCACATAATCAGAAGCAAGATCAAAAACCACATGATTATATCAATAGATGAGATAAAGGCTTTCTACAAAATCCAACATCCCTTCATTATAAAAACCCTGAAGAAAACAGGTATACAAGGACCATACCTGAATATGATAAAAGCTTTGTGTTATAGACCAATAGCCAGCATCCTACTGAATGGGGAAAAACTAAAAGCATACCCCTAAAATCAGGAACAAGACAAGGATGTCCACTATCACCTCTTCTATTCTAGCACTTCTATTCAAGTGCTTGAAACATTAGCTAGAGCAATTAGGCAAGAGAAAGAAATAAAAGAGATACAACTAGGAAAGGAAGAACTCAAATTATCATTATTTGCAAATGACATGATACTCTACATAGACTACCCAAAGAACACCAAAAAACTCTTAGAATTAATAATGAACTGCAGCAGTGTAGCTGCAGTGTAGCTACAAAATCAACACACAAAAATCATTGGCATTTGTGTACAACAATAAATGGGATAAGAAAATTATGAAAACAATACCATTCACAGTCACTTTCAGAAAAACAAAACATGTAGGAATTAATCTAACCAAGAACTGAAAGCCATCTATATACTCTGAAGAAGGAGATTGAAGAGGAAACCAGAAAATAGAAATATGTCCCCTGCTCCTGGATAGGCAGAATCAATATTTTCAAAATGGTCACACTCCCAAACTGTTACAATCCAAGTATCAACAACATATTTTACCAATCTAGAGAAAACAATCCTGAAATTCAAGTGGAGCCAGAAGAGATCAGAATAGCAAAACCAGTTTGGGGCCATAAGAAAAGCAGGAGGCATAGAAATAGTTGACCTCAAGCTATACTACAAAGCAATAGTGATAAAAATGGCATGGTTCTGGGACAAAAACAATGTGGATCAATGGACTAGAAGAACTGAGGACACAGAAACTTCCCCAGACACATTCAACTATTTGATCTCTGACAAAGGGGCCAAAAGCATATACTGGAGGAAAGACAGCCTGTCCCACAAGTGTTGCTAGGAAAACTGGTTACCTGTGTGCAGAAGATTGAAACTGGACCCTTATCTCTCTTCACATACTAAATTAAAATCAAAGTAGATTAAAGAAACATTAAACCTACTGGAAGATAAAATAGGTAAAACATTAGAGTGTAGGTGTAGGAAAGGATTTTTTAAACAGAACCTCAAAAGAAATAACACCAAGAATCAACAAATTATATCAGATTAAACAGCTCTGTACAGCAAAAGAATCAATCAGTAAAGTGAGGAGACAGTCTTCAGAATGGAAAAAATGACCAGCTACTTCTCAGTCAGAGGACTAATATCTAGAACATAAATAGAACTCAAAAAAATTAAACAACCTAAAATTAACAATCCAGTCAGGAAATGGGCAAGAGAAATTAACAGACACTTCACAGAGGGAGAAATACACATGGTCAACAAATATATGAAAAACTGCTCTGGCCTTTAGAGAAATGCAAATTGAAACAATGCTAAGATTCCATCTTACTCCAGGAAGAATGGCAATCACTAAGAAATCAAGCAATAACCAATGCTAGTGAGGCTATAGTGCAAAAGAAATCCTTCTTCATTTTTAGTGGGCATATAAACTAGTACAAACTTTATGAAAATTAGTATAGAGATTTCTCAAAGAACTGAAACTGACCCCCCTGGGTATCTTCCCCAAAGAGCTCCAGCCACCACATTGCAGTGATGCGCCACATTCACGTTGATACAGCACGACTTATCATCGCTAGACCCTGGAAGCAGCCTGTGTGCCCATCAGCAGATGATCGCATAAACACACGTGGTATCCATATATGATGAAATTCTGCTCTGATATAGAGTGACAGATTTGAGACATTTTTGGGAAAGTGGGTGCACCTGAAAAATATAATGTTGAGTGAAATAAACCAGATGCATAAGCTGAAATACCACACGGTACCTCATTTGAATAAAGCAAAGTGCAAACAAAGAGAATAATAAAGGATGGATAGAAAGGGACAAAAAAAAATGGATCTCTTGCAATAGGAAAGTGATCCAAGGGGAAAAGTGGGAGAGGTGAAGAGGAGGGGAAATGAGTAGAATAAAATATGCCATGTACAGGAGCCTAATAACCCCAATTAGTCTAAACATTATGTGCCATAACATGAGCTAAGATTAATAATATAAACAAGAATGAAAAGTGGGGTAGGGGAATTAGAGGAAGGAGAGAGGGAGGAAAAGGAAAGCAGATTTTTAAAAAAGAAACAAGCTGTGGTATATATGTGTACCCACTGCCCAAGATGATTTTAAACTTCATGAACTATAAACATATACTAAAAAATTAAAAATTACAACTAAAAAAAGAATTTCAAACAAAAAATGAAGAAGGAAGTCCTGCTGTTTGCAACAATTTGGATGAACCCAGAAGACACTATGCTATGGAAATACATTAGTTTTATTTTTATTTTAGAATCACCAAGGCCCCTGAAGGCCTCCCCTGGGAATGGAGAGACAGGAACCTGAGCTTCCGCTGTGGGAGCAAACAGAGAATATAACTTTGGTGAGAACCCCCAGAGTCAAAAATGGAAAAAGAAGGATAGTCATGGCCGGCTGAGGCCAACAGGACTGCTGTTGAGTCCTGGTGTGGTTTAGATCTGGTGTGCCTCATGCATCCGCAAAGTGACTGGCTCAGGGGAGCTGTGGCGGACTTGTAGGGATTGGGGCCTGGCTGGAGGTGGGCCACGGCCTGGAAGAGGACGTCTCCCCGCCCGGCTCCTCCCTTCTCCTCGATTCCTGGTTGCCATGAGGCAAGCAGCTTTCCTCCACCATGCCCTCCACTATGTCCTGCCTTCCCTGTGCTGGACGGTGCCTCCCACACGGGAGCCCTCTATTTCAGGGGGCCCTCCTGGTGATTCCTGTGTGTGCCCAGGGGAACACGCCAGGAAAAGCAGCCACTCTGTGCCTGGGCACTGGCAGCAACTGTGGGAACACAAAGGCAGGGAAGAGGTCCTGACTCAGAGCAGATCGCCAAAGTGGAAGTCTCCAGCCTGTGAACATCATAACAAACACAATCCTGAGAATGACACCCCCACTGCATGGCCGGGGTACTGGGTGTTGCTCTGGGGGTCAGGGAAGGCTGGGTTCCTCTGAGCTTGGTGCGTTTTGGTGGGCTAGAGCAGCTGGTGTTTCAGATCCAGGGCTCAGCATGGAGAGAACCACAGAGGGGGCGGCAGCATGGCCTTGCAGAGATGGTCCAGGTTCGGGAAGGCATGGTCCTTCCTTATACTCCTAGGCTTGGTCATGGCTCTGAACCACATGTGGACAGTGGCCCCCAATGTATCTCTCTCCCACCTGCCCCCATCCCCTTGGGAACACCTCCTCCCACCAGTTCAGGAACTACAACTCTGAGCTCCTGTAAACATACATAAAATCCACTTATGAAAGGCAGTCTGCTTCCGGCAATCACGCACCACTCCTACAGTTAATGGAATGGTTCAAGGAGGGTCCAGGGCTGGTCGCTGTGCTCCCTGTTGGGAGTACTGAGACCCATGGCAGAGCTGCTGTGGGCTTCTCCTCTCCAGAGACTGCTGCAGCCCTGACCACACCACTCCCATGAACGGAGGTAGGTGAGAGACGAAATCTTGGAGGGGCAGCTGGCAGGAGAGGGACTGTGTGCTTTGCCAGCCACCAGAGAGCTGCGGTCCCCAGTCACCCTTTCCACCACAAGACACTACTGACCCTCAGTCCTCCAACTGATTCCCGCAAACTGACTCCGGGCCTCCACCCACAGCCCTCCCCTGCTCCAGCCAGGCCGAGCCCTGCTTCATGGGGACCCATCCCTGTCCTCCAGTACCTACTCCTTGCTCCTCAGGGTGCCTGATTTCCTCTCCCTTCTGAGGGGATGGGGTCCGGGCTTCTCCTCCCGAGGTGTTGCCTGCACTGCCCACTTGACAGGTCCCCATGCACCAGGTCTGCCAGCCACCCAGGCTGTAACCCTGGTCTCCTGTGGTCTCTGCCTCGCCTCTCCAAACTCGGACACCGCGTGACCACAACTTTCAGCCCTTGGCCCCCCAGTCAGGGCACAGTGTCTCGGGAAGAGCTTACTGCAATCCCCGCTCCTGGTTATTCCCATCTTTAAAAGGAGAGAATTAAGCTTGGTGATGTTTGCGCTGTAGATGGATAGCAGTACTTGAGTGAGCTGCGTGCGCTCACCTGGGGTGCTGAAACATCTAAGGCAGGGGCACACTCCATCCTGGGCTCACCCCACCTGTAGGCCCCTGGACTCCCTGCTCCCTCACACCTTGTACCGTGGTTCGTTGTGAGCAGTACTGAATGGCAACGTAAAGCATAAGGAAGCTGCAAGTCTGCGAGTCTCTGTGGAAACCAAGTCTGGAGATGAGCAGCCCAGGGATGCTGTGGCAACTTCTTCAAACCCACTGCGCTGTCCTTTTCAACCTGTGCTTTCTGGTTCATAGTTCAAAGTGGCCGCTTAAACCTTAGCATCAGCATTCCTTCGACATGACAGTGGAAGGGCAAGGTAAAGAAAAACAGGGTCTACTCCAGAGGCTGAGGCAGGAGGATCACGGTGAGCTCAAAGCCAGCCTGGGATACATAGTGAGTTCACAGAAGCCTGAACTACATAGCGAGACCCTGTCCCACTCCCCCACCCCCAAGAAAAAGGATAAAGAATACTCAGGTAATTAAAGATAAAGAACAATGTTTGACAATGATAGAGGGACTAACCCACAAGAGGGCTAGCAAACCCCAGACCTGTTTGCACTACTTAAAATGGCTGCTAAATCCAAACTTAACACAAATACAGGGGACAGGCAGACTCCAGTGCTCATGATCCTTCTCAATAGCTCGTCTTTTCTGATAACCCACAGAGCAAGCAGAACGAACCCAGGGAGGACAGGAGCTGCCACTGCACAGGGACCATGCAAGGCTGAAACACCAGCGTTCTATCCCTGCAGCCACAGGGTTCGTGTGCCTTCCATGTGCAGGTGTGTGGAACACACCCATAGGGTGCCCTGTCAGCAGCTGCTCAAACCAGCTGCCTGCTAGCAGCTCATTCTGGCACAAGCACCACAAAGGAGGCTGGGAAAGTTCGCCTGCTCCGTGTGGCGGTCATTTTGTCACACTGCACAGAGAGGTTCAGTAACTACCCACAGTCACATAGCCATGCAGGCATCTAGCCCCACGCTGGCACCAACACTCTAGGACCTCTGCCATCCCTGGTACCTGTGACTTCCAGGAAATCATTTTAAATGGATGTCTCAACTCAGATGTGTTAATTTCATCATTCCTTCCACGGACGATTGGATGGAGCCAGGTGTTTTCCCTGACCCTTTCTCCCATGAAAAATGGGCTGAAATTTTACCATCAGAAATGTGTTTCTTTTTGTTAAGTCCTATTCTCTCCCTGAAGTTCTTTTTAGAAATGCAACTTCCCAGCGGGGCACAGAAGACACACACTTGTGTAAGTTTCTCAGCCTAGGCAACTTAGTGACTTAGCCTCAAAGTATAAACTGAAATGAAATAAAATAGTCGCTAGGGATATAGCTCAGTGAGAAGGCCCTGGGTTCGAGCCCCAGAACCACATACACACACAGTGGTTTCCCTTGGTGGGGAAAGTCTGTGGTGGAGCAGAGGACTTGCAAGAGGAGTCAGAGACGAGAGCAGGCTGTCAGCTCTGTGGGCGCCCTGGCCGCCGAGCCCAGGGGCGACTGCAGAGTGAGCGGGGACAGCTCCCACAGCCGACGCCGGCAGACCCCCACCTGCCACTGTGTTTTGTGAACTTCCTTTTCCTCCCTCCATCTCTTCTGCCTCCCTGACTCTCAGAGTGTGTTGGAGAAAAATGGGTTTTGTCTTTTTTTAACAAGAAGACTGAAAGTCTTAATGACCTTCTCCAAGGTCTGCAAATAGAAAGCTTAGTACAGCCACATTTGCTTTTCTTTGTCTCCCGCTCTGTCTCCAGGAGCCCTGAGCTTTGAGATTAAAGGCTGGGCCCTTACTCGGGAGGAAGTAATTGAAATTGGCTGAGCACCGGCAGGAGGAGGGCAGGGTGAGCGGAGGAGATGGAGGTGAGCAGAACCAGGCTCCTTACTGCAGTTCCAGGGGAGCAGCTGCTTGGCGAACTGGGTGTCCTTGGGGGTGAGAACTCTGAGGGCTGGGAATTCAAGTACTTGTGCCAATCCACGCCACAAGTCAGTCACGCCAGCCTCATGGGAGTCGTGTGACAGATCAGGGTTTGAGCCCGGTTATGGGACCGCTGGGCCTATAGGGACCTGTTCCTTACCTGGGAAGTCTAGGGCCTGGGACTGGTAGAGCAGGAGGAGCCACGGCTGGGGTCTGTGCCCGCACAGCCCCTCTGTCCCTCCCTCCTGCTGTGTGTGCATGTGTGAAGCAAGTACACACATGTGCCGTGACGAAGAATGAGAACAAAACGAGGCCCGCGCAGGATCTCCCGAAGACCTGTGGGTCAGGCCTGCGTCCTGAGGACAAAACTGGCATCAGAAGTGGCAGAGGTGCCCCCTGGACTGCCTGCCCTCTAGGAGGTGTGCAGTGGCCACCACCTGAAGCCTCTGGCATGGTAGGGTGACCCGGCTCCGAGGCGCCCTCCAGCTCATCTGTGTTCCCTGCAGGCCCGGCGATCATGGCCCAGCACAGGAGCGAGCAGGATGACTGGCAGGTCGTCTACCTGAGGAATCTGCTCTTCGTCTTCAACTTCTTCTTCTGGGTGAGTGAATTCTGCACATCACCCTCCTCCCCAGCCACCAGGAGTCCGTCAGTTTCTTCTGCGCCAGAGGCCCCTAAGGGTCAGGTGCTGTGAGCAGCAAGGTGGTGTGTGCCTATGCTCCTGGGGGTAGCCAGGGAGCTCAGTCTGCAGGTTGGCGTGGAGTCAGGCTGCGCGGCCTTGACCAGGGGCATAGCGGTGCCCTTTTCATGCCAGTGCCCTGCACTAGAGGCCAGCGCTTTGTTCCCTGGCACTGGTCACGCTGTGCCCTGTGGGAATGTGACCGCCTAAAGCTCACTTGGGCTATGTTCTCCAGGCCTGGGGCAGAGGGACCAGAGTCTTGGGACTGGGGCTGTGCTGCCCATGGTAGGAATGGTGTCTCTGCAGTGACTCCCTCAGGAAGCCTCCCTGGTTGGCCTTTTCTGGAACAGTGCAGAGTCCATCCACCCAGGCAGTTATCTGGTGATTGGGAGCAGAATGCCATCAGCATTCTTAGAAGACAGAACTGGATTTTGTGCCACCCAGGGCTGCCCCTTGGATAGTTTCATGGGCTCTCAGGAAGTCGCATGCCAGGGTGGGACTCCGTTTCCATGCACTTTCCTTGGACACTTGATGCCGATTGCCAAGACTGTGGCAGCAGTGAGGCTGCACAGACCCAGCTGAGCAGCAGTCTGGGGAGAAGACAGTCATCTGGTGCTGTCTAGCAGAAGGCGGACACACTCAGGTTTGTTTAAACACGTTTTGCAAAATCCTGGGAGGAGCAGTCACTGACCAGCCACTCTGTCTTCCAGGCGACCTGGAGGGTAACAGTGGGTGCGACAGACCTGAGCTGTGCGGGGCGGGCGGGGCGGCATCCTCAGAGACCCGGCGGGTGTTGACCCAGCCGGTGTTGAGGACCCCTTCTGAGTACGCATTTCTTTGTAAGAATGTTCTCCTGATCATTTTCAGATGACTCATGTGCACACCACAGATAATCTCCAAAAGATTGAGAAGTATAAGAAAATAAAAATTACGCCATCGCATGTTGGCTTCCGAGCTGCCCACAGTGGGGTGGCGGTAGATGGCAGCAGGGTTTGCCCCCACCCCTGGCCTGAAGACAAGCGGCTGTGCTTCACCTGAGGCCGGCCAGACCCTCTCCTTGCCACTCACACCGCTTCAGCTGGGGACTCTCGACAGCCCCTGGCCCACAGTGGCAGTGGCACTCAGGTCTCCACCTCGCCTCGCATTCTGGACCTCTTCTTATCTCCACGAGCCATTTGGCTCTTCTAGGACAGCAGTGGACTGGGCCACACAAATGACCTCATCTTAACCTGAGTCCTGCTGCCCAGACTTCCAAATAAAGTCACTACTCCCGCCTGTGGGGACTGAGGTCCACACACATCCCTTGGGAGACAGGTCACCCACACCACTCGCCATCCTGGGCTGAGCCCTGGGCATTCCTTCCATACTTTGAGCTGATAGGGGGAGAGGTGGTGACCCCACGGTAAGACAAACCATGGGGTGGAGGGGTCAAGCGGTTGGGAGATGCAATGGGCAGAATTAGGAATTAACTCAGCATTTGGACAGGGGACAGGAGAGAAGCAGTTTGGGGCCGGATATAGACACGGTGGTTCTGGGATGGGGTAGCAGGTGCTGACACCAGGAGAGCCCCAGTGAAGGGAGCGGAGACAGCTGGGGCGGGAGCAGGAGAGACATGGCTCAGAGAAGCTGGAGCCTAGTGGGCCATCAGGGTGAACAGAGGGGACACATGGAGACCCCGAGGCCTGGAGCTGCCCTTGGCTGAACACAGGAGCATGTGGAGAGCAGCAGAGGCAAGGGTTGGGGGGCAGAGCTCACTATAGACCCTGTCCCTGGGCCGTGTCCATGGGCTCCTGGCACTGAGGCTGGTGTGGGTGACCTCGAGGTAACTCAGTGGCCATCCTGAGGTCCCTTCCAGCCAGAGTGGACCAAGTTGATATCCTTTAGAGCAGTAAGGAGAGGGTGCGGCTGGCCAGCAGGTGGGCAGCCGCTAGGAAGGGACCCTGCCCTTAGCCATCTCCAGCTTCCTGTTAGAAAATCGGCCTGGCACCCACCTGCCTGCCTGAGACCAGCCTTCCAGACCCAGGCAGCTCAGCCTCATTCTTGTGACACAGTGACTAGGAAGATTCCAGCCTTGTTCTTTGGGCAGGGGTCACAGTGTTCAGTACCCTCACCCTGCCACCCTGTTCAGGAGATACAGGGCAGACTGCTGACCTGTCTTTTCCCAAAGCAGAGCCCAAGTTTACACCTCACAGCACCCTCATCCTTGGGGATTGACCAAATTCCTCAGGGGGGAACTGTCCCCAAAGGCTCCTCTCCCACACAGACACCCTTGAAGTCCCATTGCTCTCCCCTCCACTGAACCCAGTTATAAACACAATGCTGCCTGTGTCCACAATGAGGGTGGCTCACACCCACCCATGGGTGAGTCACAAGGCAGAGCAATGGGGGGACCCTCGGACATCCACCAGGCTGCTGCTCATGGTCACCGCCCTCCCCCAAATGTCGAGGAGCAGGGGCCAGGTGAGGCTGGGAGGAGCAAGGTGAGAGCCCAGCTGTCTTCCCCAGAGCATCTCTTTGATGCCCCACCCAAGGCCAGTGCAGGACAGAGGGTCCCGGGGCTCCCTGCAACTGTGCAGCTCCACATTTGAGAGATGCTGCTGGGTTAGAGCCTCCCACAAGTTGTCCCCTGCCACCCTCCACACAGCCCTGGAGGGGCTCCTACCTCAAATGTGGAACAGGCTCACCAGCTTCAGGTCTTCTTCTGGTGGTAAGCAAAGCTAATGTGGCAGCCAGGTACTCTGGTACTGGGTCAGTAATGATAATGATTATTTAAAAGTTCATTCCACAGTTTTCATTAAGTACCCACTAAATGTCAAGCGTAGTTCTGGGTGCTCAAACACAGCAGTGGAAAAGTCTCCTGGTTTCTGGACAGACTGTGGGCTTCCTCCAGCTTGACCTTCCACTCCTGTCTTCCTGGGTCATCCTCCCAGTGCCCCTTGGGGCTGTGCACAGCTCTGTGAGACTCCATTTTGCAGAATGTGAAGCTGTTTCCCCAGCATTCAAGCTCCATGATTATTTCCTGCAGAATGTTCAGTGCCTCGGCTGAATTGTATCCCCTCCAAGTTTCACATGCTGAAGCCCTAACCCAGTGGGGCTGATTTGCAGACAGGGTTTTTGAGAGTCATGAAAGGGAGGGTAAGTGCGGTCATGAGGGTGGGCTCTGGGCCCAATAGGAAGTACAAGAGGCTTTCCACAGGCAAGCTCTACACAGGCCATGTGAGGACCCACAGAAAAGCTGCCAGCTGAGAGCTGAGGCAGCCAGGGCCTTGAGCCTCGACTTCCAGACCCCAGAAGTGGAAAAAATGAGTTCTCTTGCTTAGGCCACCCAGTGTATGACCTCTCATGATGCCAGTCCAGGTAGACCAAGCCATTAGACAAAGCCCCTGGTCACTCTGCCCTCACACAGGACAAATGAGAATCCAGTGCCTATAAGAATTAGAGGTTGATATTTTGAGAAACATTCAGTACAGTTTCGGGAGCATAGTAGGTGTTTGCTGTCTTGCATGGCCATCGTGAGGACAGGAGCAACCACACCTTGTCCCACGGTGCTGGTGCCACCTGTGTAAGAAATGTGCCAGGGTATGGTGGTGCACACCTGTAATCCCAGCCTCTTGGAGAGAGAGGCAGAAGGATATTCGAGGCCAGCTTGGGCAACTCAGCAAGAAACTGTCTCAAAATGAAATTTACAGGGGCTAAGGATGTGGTTCTGGTAGAGCCCTGCTCCAGTTCCTAGACCCACCCCAAAAAGGAAAGCTAAGAAAAAAAGAAACATATGCACATGTAAGAAATGTTAACAGGAAGCATTATTCATGAAACTAAACTCACTTTCAAGAGTGTGCCACTCTCCGGCTTTCTGTGACTGTTATCATTAAGTGCGGGCTGCAACTCACGAAGCATTTCACAAGCCCAGAGTCACGCTCCAGGTTTGAAAGTCCCAGGCAGCCCGATGTCTGCCCAGCCTGAGCAGGCTGGTGATCGCGTCCTTCCCATCGCCCTGTCCCCTCAGGTTGGGGGCCAGGCCTGACACCACTTTCCTGCCTCCTTCATGAACCCAGAAAGCGCAGGTGCCCAGGTTTCCCAGTATGGCTGCCTGGGAAGTGTGCTTCTTCTCCCCACGTTTTCTGAACGGCTCCCTACAGCTCCCATCAGCCCTGCAGTGTTGCTCTCTAATTTATTATTTTAATTAGATGCTTGGCTGTGTTAATAATCAAAACTTTCCCAGCCTCCCAGGAGCTCTGCCAGGCTGCTGGAAGAGGCTGCAGTGGCTGCCTCTGCTCAGGAGCTCTGTCCCTCCCTGAGTGCTGGCTCGGCCCTGACGCTTCCACAGGACCCCTGGTGACAGAAAGGAAGTGGCCCCAGCCCGGGACTCACTTCTGGGCACAGGAAGGGCCAGGGAGGGAAGAGCCTTCTGCTCATGTCCAGGCCCAGCTGGGAAGTCCTCGCATCTGGTGTCCCCTGCTGAGGCTGTGCATTCTGCCTGGGCAGGGCCAGTGGGTGAAGCATGGCGGTAAAAGCCCTCTGCCCCTGCACAGCACAGGGCACTCCGCTCTGAGGGCTTGCTTCCCGGGTGGGTCTGCAGCTCAGTCTGTAAAGGGGGCCTCAAACAGGATGTTAGGGTTCTGGACTTCTTGTCCCCACTATGCTGCTAGAGTTAGTGACCTTGGGCCATCGCCTCTCTCTGGGCCTTAGTTTTTCTTTCCAGAATGTAAAGGAAGGGCGTGGACCCTTCTCCTCCCTCCCACTGTAGCCCTCTCCCAGGGATGCTAAGATGAATGAGGTTTAATTAAGAGGCTACAGCAGGAGACACAGGGTAGCTCTCACAGGCTGTGCTGATGTAACTATAGAAACATGAGGGAGGAGCCAGTGGGGAGAGGCAGAGCTCCGTGGAGGGGCTGTGTGAGGGCTGTGTGCTTTCTTTCCGC